AAGGGCGAAAGCCTTCTTCCCTTAATAAAGTGACTTAAAGTGACTTAAAGATACCGAATGACATCTACAGTCCTCTCCTCGTCTCGACACGTGTTTCCCACGACAAGGGGCGTTCAGAACCATAACAATCAATATCCCACCTTATTGCAACATATCATACCATATCAATCTAACTATCTTGTCAAACAATTTTTTCTTTATTTTTTGGATATCGTTGGCTCGCTGAAATCTGCCACCAATTCAAACTTTAGGAGTTTTTTCATTGCCTCTTTTCCAGTTCACCATATTTACCCAATATGGTTGACTATTAATTTAAAAAAGTGTCCTTTGTAAATCGGATGTGACTAATTATGTATAACATACTATTAATTCCTGTTGTTATACAGTTGCTAACGAGCAGCTATGATTACCAACATTGTATGCCTTTTTATCACAGCACTAAGTATGCAATGTAAGGGCCCCCTTGCGCCTTCAATACACATTAAAAAAATGAAATCACAATATGTTGCAAACACGTGAATGCAAATAGTATTCTCGAATTTTTGGCCTATGGACACCAATGCATACTGGAATGGCGTAAACACATTGAATCAATGCAACCGCTACTATGGTAAAATCCGCGGCCAGCCATTAACATTTGATACAAACCTTCTGTATCTTGCGTGGCTTGGACTGCGCTCTCCCGTGTGGCGACATTTTCCAACTCGTCACTACGAATAATCTCCGGGGGCATCCCTTCAAACTGTATGGGCCCCAAGGACGATAGGATGTGAAGAAGTATTTTTTCTCTAATCGGGTCGTGGACCCGTGGAATTACCTTCCTGAGACTATTTTTATGTACCAATCTGTGGAAACATTCAAACACCGACTTGATATACACATGTTGCAGCACAACCTGAACTATCTGACAAATTAACCTTCAAACATCACTGAACCATGTGACGGTCTATATTTTCCTGACAGAAAACTTGTTAACATTGTGTCTAATTCTTGAGATCTTCATGAGAAAAATAGGGAGTTCAAAGGCGCAAGCCTATTTTTCCCTCAAATATACTGGCTGACTGAAACTGACCACCATTCGCTCCTTAGTTCTCTGAGATTTTTCACAAAACACCATTATGTTCGATCGGCTGAGCTTTACCGTTTTGATCATCGGAATTTGCTCGAATGATATCAAGATTACGGTGAGGCAATGA